AGCATGATGGAATGAGTCTATAATACTCTGCGAAAGAGCAGATTACGCAGGAACAACCATATTGTGAGCAACATGTTGTACAAAGTGAAAAACAACATGGAGATGTGGCCAAGGCCTAGCAAATGTTCTTTCAGTAAGAGGCAACCTTTGCAGTGGTGGAGATAGGGGATGAGTTTTCTCTCTTTCTTTTTTTTAATCTTTTATTTGGATCTTTAGTCCAAATTGCTGGGAGAAGGGCATTATTTGTCAGAGAGGTCACACCCTAGTCTCAGGAACTATGAGTTGAAGTTAAAGGACCTGTTAATTATTTTATTCAGCACTTCCTTCATCAAATATTTCCTGAGGTCCTACCTACTATGTGCTAGCCATAGAGCGCTAAAGGCACTGAGGATACAGCAGTGAGCAATTTACGCTTGGCCCCTGGTCACATGGACCTTTGGTCATTTCTACATCAGAGTGTTGCTGAAATAGTCAAAGTATTGATCTAGTGGTCCAAATTGCTGATTATGGACAATTGCATAGGAAAGTAAAGGACAAGGTGAAAAAAATCATAAAAAATGTCACACTTGCCTTGAATCTCCAACCTCATTTGGGTTTGCATGCTGATAGTAATTATACAAATAGCAGCAGCTACCATTTGCTTAGCAGTTACTATGTGTCAGCCTCTGTGCTGGTGCTTAACTTTTATTTCCTCATTTAATCATCAAAGCAATCCTGTGTATTATCATATCTATTTTATAGAATACAGAAGTAAGACTAAGAGAGGCTAAGTAATCTGCCCAAGTCTGTACACTCAAGATTCAGACTCAGGAAGACCCACCCTAAGTGTTCTGCTCTCGGCCACTCTGCTTCCTTAGATCATCCCTCCCTGCAGTTTCTGTGAGTCTGGTTTATCTGCTGGATACCTAGGAAAGTTCTTATTCTGTGTCCTTCCTGCCCAAGAAAGGGCAGTTTGCCCATTTAATGTAATTGCTTCCCATTTTTGACTACGGTAAAAAAGGGGCTGATAAGACAGCCATAATTTTTCTCTTTCATCCTCTCTTGCATGTTTCATGCTTTCTGCACAGTGAGGGCCCTCACAGCTCTGAAAGCAGATTTGGAAACATGTTGAATGGGTCCCCTCGAGGTAGAGATGACAACATCAACCTGGATGTGTCATTTTAGACTGATGTGTGCGCTTTAGGGAATAAATGATTTGTGTTTGAGAGAAATCATTCAGCTGGAAGTGATGGGAGCCCTTCCATCAGTGCTGCTCAGAGCGGTTTCGTGTCTTAGGGACACCAAGGGCAAATAAGGGACTAGAAAAAAAGAAAATGTGGATAATTTAGAGCCTTCTGTCACTGTTTAGGAGCAGGTTAACTGCTAAAAATATTGTTTTAATAAATGTTAAAGATTTTGAAAATGTAAGAAGTACTTCTCAGAAAACTCTTTTTCTAAGTCTCATTGAAAAGAATAAATAGGGATTCTGATGATTGATTCCCATAATATTAAAAAAAATAAGACAAAAAGACCTTTGGTGTATTTACTCATTAGCAAATTAATAACCGTGGTTTACTTTCCGAGGCAGACCAAGGAGATCAAGATGTACCTGGGTGGGGGATTTCTCTGAGGGTTAGGTGACATCAGAAGGGGTCAACGTAGCAAGATGTGGGATTTGGAAATCTTAAAATTATGGCCATGGTTAACGGTCTACTTTTATTTTTTCTTTTTTCCCTACCTTCTGCCACTCACTCTCTCCTTGAAGATATATTATGTCTTGTTTGGGGTCATGCTTTTATTTCCTTTTCCATGTTGCTAACATCAATTAAGAAGCCTCATTGCTGTTCCTCATTGCTTCTCAGTTTCCACATTCTTTCCTGCATTCTTTGGGTTACTTTTTCGTTATGATAATCCTATACGTACTTCCTCCCTTCCCCACCACACACACACACAACCCAGAGGTTAATGGAATGTTTAACTGGTTATATGCAAGATTAACCACAATGTATTTATTTATTAAGTAAAGGAACTCTTTATTAGGTTAAATAGCTAAACTTAAGGAACATTTACACCAAACTTTTAAATGTGGTCTAATTAGAAAGCAATTTATGAAATATACTCTTTGATATTACTGTAGGTAGTTTTTCTATTTTCTATTTTAATTTTGTTTAAGTAGCTAATCATTCATGGTTTTAAAAAATCAAATGATTATTAAAAGTTATAATTGAAAAGTCTTATTCCCACTCCTCTTCCAGACTCCACCCCTACCCCTGCTTCTACAAGTATTCACAATTATTAGTTTTTTGTGAGTTTTCCCAGGGTGTCTTTATAATAAAATAAACAAACGGGGATACGTAATTCTTACACAAAGGTCAGTGTAGTAAATACTGCTAAATACATATTGACCTGCACCTTGCTTTTCTAGCTTAACAATATGTCCTGGAGATCTTTTCATGTTAGTGCATCAAAAGCTTCCACGTTTTGGCGGCAGAGTTGCTGCACTGTATTCCAATGTGTAGATGTGCCGCAGTTTATTTAATCCCTGATTGATGGATTTTTTGAGTTGTTGACAGTCTTTTGCCATAAAAATAATGCTACACTGATCTATATAATCATATTCGGGTATAGCTGTCAGATGAATTCCCCAAAAGTGGGATTTCTGGGTCAAAAGGAAATGCATTTGTAATTATGAATGATAGTGCCAATTTGCCCTTCATAAGGGTGGTACTGTTTTTCACTTTCATCAACAATATACGAGAATTCCTCTTTCCCCACATTTACGCCAACAGTGTGTTTTCAAACTTTTGGAAGTTGGCCAATGCATGGATGTAAAAAATGACTTCTCAGTATAGTTTACTTTTTATTTTAATCATTATGAATGAAGTTAAGAATTTTTTCTTATGTTTAATGGCCATTGTCTTTCTTTTACTGCGAACTATCTTTTCGTGTCCTTTGATCATTTTTCTAGTAAGTTGTTTGGTTTTTTCCTAGCTGTCATCTGTGATACAAGTTGCAGATATATCTTCCCAGTTAGTTGTTCATTTTTTTATCTTGATTTGATTTGATTTCCTTTCTACTTTTTTTTGAGAAAATTTTAAGTTACAAGGCAGCCCTTGCTTTGTATAGCATTGTGGAACTGTAAAAATCACTGTGAAGCAATCTTAACCAATGGGGAAAATCGCAGTTGTTTCAAGACTTTAAAAAATTTTTATGAAAACATTCAAACTCTCTTACTGTCGGTTATAAATGTATACAGAAATAAAAAATAAGAAAACTAATATGTATTTAATACACTGGGACATTAGAAACACTGAGAGGTAAGGTTTTATTTCTTTGTTAAATCTTATCAAGAGTAGTTTCAACAGTGCTTGCCGCCTTCTTTTTGTTGCATATTTTACAGTATACAGTGAGCATCCTTTCTATGCCTTGGTGAAATGTCATTCCTCCTTCCAAGTTTAGATCAATTGCCAGCATTTTGTTGTTTGCTTTTCCATGTCCTGAAATATCTCCAAGAGTTCCTTTAAGGTGAAGTTTTTTGCCGGCATCACTTCCACTGGGGTGTCTTTCTCCCTTTCCTCACAACCACTTTCCTCGTTACGTCAATAAGTTCACCTTCACTCTGGCTGCGTGTGCCTCTTAAATGGGGCAATGTTGACTATTTCTTCCATAAATCCATTTATATTCAATTCAAATTCACTTCCAGTGTTATCACTTTTAGTTTTTTTTTTTTTTCTGTACTCTTATCATTTTTGGCCAATTCACTCTTTTGATTATCCATTTTTGTAAAATGTCACATGGGTTTATTACTGGGAGACAAGGAGACAACACAACTACAGGCTATACTGTCTGTACATGAACCGAATGAGAGATGTACAGTGATCAATCACCAATAGACTTTGAAAGAAGTGGCATGATTGATAATTGATCATGATGAACATCCATTATTTACATAGAGATTTCTGGACAGAAGAATTAGCAGCAAAGTTTGTCCTTTATGCCGTTACTCACAGGTAATATACTGTGGTAACTAGATTGAAACCTTGTTTTTGGAGGACTGGTGTTGTTAACTAAACTGTAGTAACTTAAATTTGTGCATATCGGAATTGTGCAAAGCAGGAACTGCCAGGACAGAAAAGTACAAAGAATAATATGACATCTGCATACTCATCTCTGAGTTTGACAGTTATTAACATTCTGCTATATATGCTTTAAGGGTTTTTAATAAAGGAAATAGGTAATTACAAATAAGGCTGAAGTTCTCCTTTGTCCCCACTTCCCATCCTGTTCTCTTTCATAACCTCAAACTTACGTATCATCACAAATTGAAAGAATGTCCTTTATTCTCTCTTTCTTGTTTTTTTTAACATTTCTATCTACACATATAAAGATCTCAGTGAGAATCTTTATATGTGTAAGGTGTGCTTTTAATCACATTTTTTTTCTGTTTATCATGCTTTCCTTTGCTTCTTGTATTCTTATTTCCTTCTTGAATTAGTAAAAATATTTTTTCGTATCTCCTTTTTTTCCCCATAGTTTAGAAGTCACATTTTTTTATTTGACCCAATTTCTATTCAACTAGTGAAGTAACTTGTATTTTAAAAAATAAATAAATAAATAAAACAGATATAAGGGCCAGCCCCATGGCCGAGTAGTAAAGTTGACGCACTCCGCTTCGGCGGCCCAGGGTTTCGCCGGTTCGGATCCTGGGCACGGACCTGGCACCGCTCATCAAGCCATGCTGAGGCGGCATCCCACATGCCACAACTAGAAGGACCCACAACTAAAAAAACACAACTATGTACCCGGGGGGTTGGGGGAGAAAAAGGAAAAATAAAATCTTAAAAAAAAAAAAAGAGATAGATGAATAATATAGTGATGCTCTTGTTAAGAATTCTGGGAATTTCCTCACATCTCTTCATGGAAATAGCCAAAGCCTAGAGATCCCCATGTATGTTTTGTCATATTTCTCTAACTGTTTTTCTGATACATTTAGCAGCCGTTTTACTCTGTCTGTCTTCCAGATTTATTCAGGAGATTGAGCATGCCCTGGGACCTGGCCCAGCCAAACAATGTCCTCTTCGAGAATTTCTGACTGTGTACATCAAAAACATCTTCCTCAATCAAGTCTTGGCTGAGATCAACAAGGAAATTGAAGGAGTCACTAAAACATCTGACCCCTTGAAGATCCTAGCTAACGCAGACACCATGAAGGTGCTGGGTGTGCAGCGGCCTCTCCTTCAGGTAATGATATACTTTGAACTTGCTGTTTTTATCAACACTTTTCATTGACTTGGCAAGAGTCACAAATTGAAAAAAGAATAATTACCATCTGTTTCCACAGTCATCAGGGACAAAACAAGAGGAAATAAATTAAACAGGCACCAGGGAAATTTAGGACTAATGTAGAGATAATGGAAATTCCTTAAGATCTTTAAGAAAAAAGTGATTAGCTTGAATATGGGAGATGGTGAGTCTCATTAACATGCAGGCAACTTCTCATTAATTGCCTGGAATTTGTCCTTGAAAGGAATTCTTTTTCCATTGGTGAATGCATCCTGGAATGTGAAGGACTTACAGAAAGGAAGTTACTCAGCCTAAGCTTACTTGTCAACAGGAAACCCTCTGCATCGTTTGTGGGCAGACTTACTGTAAAGAACTTGGCTAGCTCACAGTGAACTGGAACCGACCAGCAAACTGGCTTTCAAAAGTCAGATCATTTGATTCAGTGATGATCTTGTTAATATTGAAAATTTTACTTTGACTATATAAAGAAATGGTTTCTGGGCAATAGAAATAAAATAATTTGTCAGTAGATATTTGGATTAATAGGCTTGAGATACTTATTTTATATCCATTTTAGCCAATGCCTTGGAGGTAAATATAAAACTAAAAGAAAATGAGTATGATTTAAATTATGGGTATATGTTAACTATCATTACATTGTAGTTGAATCTTTATAATGTTTCTTCGTTTAAGAGAATGATGTGCACAATAGGATTTTTTACAAAACTTGTATGATGTGAGGATATCTCAGAATGTGGAAGGCTTAGGCGCTTCAAAGAAAAGTTGTATAAATGGAAGGGAGTTATAGTTGCTTCACTTGCTTGCCCTTACCTGCCTTTACATGTGTCTTTCTTGATTTTTCCTTCTTTGTACGTTAAAATTAATAGAAATGGTGGACCTTCCATAGGGAAGTGTCCTAGTTATGAGCATTCTTTTTTAAAAGAAACTCTCCTATAGTATTGAGAAAATAGAATAGAGGCATTTACTTCTCCCAGAACTTGAGTAATAGCATCAAACCTAGAAAAGAGTTCATTTGGATTGTCTGGGTCTGTGTCAGATATGTTCCTGAGGGATCTGTACTGAGTACGGGATGCAGAGAAGGGAGAATGCTGCAGGCTTGTGCTCACTCGTCCCTGTGCTGAATTACTCTTCCACTGGCTCTTTGCGTGGCTGGGACCTTCTCCCCCTAAGTCACATTTCAAATGTCACCTCCACAGGGAAACTTCTCCTGACTATCCTACCTAAGTAGGTCCCCTTCCCGGGTTATTCTCGATTCTCCCCTCCCCTCTGAGCCCCCCAGTCCATTCTCAACACTAAAGTCAAACTCTTTGGACTCTGGCACCAAAGCTCCCTTGTCAAGTGACTCACGATCAGGTTCTGCCAATAGGAAGCACTGGCAGCAGATTGGAGGGTGAGAGGAGGAAGAAGTTGGGTTATCTCTTGTCTCCTTCCTCTCCTCTTTGGATCATGGTTCTGGCTGTGGGTGCATCATCCCTTCATAACCAGAGGTCCTGCCAGGTGACACTTTGTCCATAGCTTCAGCTCTCACTGGACTCTGGCAACGCCATTTCTTCTCCTTGCCCCTTGATTATAGCATTCTCCTATTACTAGTCTCTAGGTGCCTCGGCATCCTTGTTGTTGCTTTCAGTGATGCTGATACCTCTGTAAGTCATCTCTTTGCTAATGTTTCTTCATTTGAATCATCTGAACGGAATTCTCCTTTTTGGCAGGATCCCCAATAGATCTCCCCAGTTAGTCACTATTTTAACACTTCAATTTTTGTCCTTGTTAACACAAGTGTAACTATTAGTTTATTTTCTAACTTGTTTATTTTCTGTCCTTTCCCACTAGAACATAAGTTCCAAAAGTATAACACAGTACCAGGCACCAGGAAAGTACTTGATAAATAAGTTATTGAATGAATGCATACACGTATGGATAGATGGATAGAGACAGTGAATAAGTTTTGAGTTATAAATAACAGCAGAGTCAGAGTGGGAAGATGAGAAATAGAGAGTGACAAAAACTTGTTTACACTTATCTTTTTTCTGACCATATCATTAACTTCCTCTCCATCAGAAAACCTTTCAGTATTTGTGTCCCTGAAGTGTCATGCTATATGCTGTACAGAGCAACTTTAATATGCTTAGTGTACTGAATTTTAAAGGAAACAAAAGACGACAATGTACTAAGAGTGAATCTGTGAACTAAAGATACTGGCTTATTAAACATGATAATTTTCAGCTTGAGTGGCAAAGACACATGAAAACTCATGACTACTTGACTACAATGTGGACCATATCAGGGCCATACACTGCCAGCTAAATGACACCTCTGGGCAGTCAACTGCTGTGCTTGTCAAATCGCTCCCAACCTCGTGCCCAGTCATTCATATGTGTTACTCTGCCTCCTGTTCTTTAAATCAATTACTCTATTCTGAGGCTAGATAAGAACTCCAAATTTACCTGTTCTCTCTTTGACCTAGTCGAGATGTGATTATTCTCTATAAATGAGTAAATCTTGAAAGTAAGGCCATTCAAGTTATTAATCTCCAAATTTGTTTTCTGAGCCAAAACACCTTTCTTATATGTTTGTTTTGTTGCCCTCTTTCTTTATAGAAATTTTATTTGATGAGAATGCAAATTAGTTAGACTATATCAGTAAATTTGTTTAGTATTCTCAGACTTGTGAGATCTAAAAAGCAAATGAGAAGATGGTTATTTTCCTTTCTCCTCTTGAGAAATTCTCTTGCTTTATAATGATTGATTGTAAATTGTTTTCTAACATAAGTTTCTTAAACGTGTTTCTGTGTCACCTTGATACTTGTTTTTTAAAGATTTTATTTTTCCTTTTTCTCCCCAAAGCCCCCCAGTACATAGCTGTATATATATTTCAGTTGTGAGTCCCTCTAGTTGTACGTGGGACGCTGCCTCAGCATGGTTTGATGAGCGGTGCCATGTCCGCACCCAGGATTCAAACCGGCGAAACCCTGGGCCGCCAAAGCAGAGCCTGCAAACCCAGCTGCTCAGGCTAACTCCTCCTGCCGCTCCTGGCTAACTGTAGGTGACTAATTTGAAGAAAAAGTAAATAATTCTCAAAAATTTCAGCTGAGAATCCAAAACAACTTTAAGAAGGGAGCTTGGAGAAATATGTGTGTGTGAAAGATGCAGGTGGGTTAAGTATTCAGTGACGTTAAGCATAAAAATGTGCTTTAAAGTCATTCCGTCTACTAGACTGTTTGGTCACAGAGCAGAAGGGTTGTGCCTTTCCCCTGAGGCAGCACCCAATGTCACATAGCATCAGCCCAACTGACTTCTTCAGGGAGAGTGGAAAGACAGCTGTCTCAGTGCTGCTGTCATTTGTGTGCTGACGTGCAGATGTGGAGAACCCTCGGACACTTGGTCCTTACCTCTCTGAAATGGCATCTGAGCAGTATAGACAACTGGTTATAATGGACATTTCCATGGGTGATAATGTGATTTTGCTTTGGTAATTTCACTTTCTAGGCACAGAATTCATAGAAGGAAAGGAAGGAAGGAAATAGGAAGGAAGAGATTACAAGTACCATTTTATAGGTGAAACAGCTATGCAAGTGTTAGCCCCAAATGATACAGCAGCATAGTACCAGTAGGACTCATAGAAGTAGTAATAGTAGTAATGATAGCATTCGTAGTAGTAATAGTAATAATAACAGCAGCTAACAGTGTAATAGCATTTACTATGAGCCAGACACTTTTCTCAGTGCTTTATATGTATTGACTTGTAAGTGTTTTACATTTATTGGCAACAGCTTTGTGACGGTGGTATTCCTATTATGGGGAGGAAACTGAGAAACAATGAAATTAAGTAACTTACCTACAGTCACATAGCTAGCAAGTACTAGAACTGTAATTTAAAGGCAGGCAACCTGACCCTGGAGTCCGTGCTCTAAATGAGTTGTACTCAAAGCATAGTCTGAGGAGTATGCTCGTCTGCAGACTGTTGTTTACCAATCTGCTATGAGATGTACAGAATTTGAGAGTAAGCGTCTAGATGCCCCCTCTCATTTTTTAAAGCAACTTGACATCATCTGTTTAATAATAAAAAAAAAAGATTTGTGTTTTATATATCTTTGTGGTTTTTAAAATTTTTTTTCTAGTAATTTGTTTCTATTGTATTTTATAAAAGTCTCAATCTACTATAGATTGGGGGAAAACCCTGGGCTCTCAGGCGGTTAGCAACACATTGCTCTAAATCCCTTACTCCCTCATATCGCCTCACAGAGAAGTAAAAGCATAGAACCAAGCATCTCTTGCCTCAGCATCCAAGGCACTTTCCAACAGGTAGAATAGCTTGGAAATTTGTTACAGGTAGTTCTGTCCTAAATCCCCAGCTCCTAGAACAGCGTCTGCCATAGAGGAGGTACTCAATATTTAATAAATAGATGAGTGAAGGAAAATGAATGAATTAATGATGACTTCCTTAGTACAAGGACATGTGTGTGCATGTTTTCCCCTTATGGTATAAGATTCATGGTCTTGGGTTTAAGATTCTTGACAGTACTTAAATTAAAATGTCACAATTCTTATGCCTCTAATGCTATCAGTATGAAGGTAGAATTAACATTCCTCATCGTCTTACCCTCTGAGTTTCCTCTACTGCTGTCACTTTTTTGCAAAATGACTTCCACTTGTAGCAAGGCAGAGCCTGGTGATTCAAATTGAGGCACTCTCTTAAGAGAAATTCCTCATTTCTCCTGAGTCAGATCTTCTGGCATTCTGGACATGGAGCTATGGAAACAGTCAATTGAAGTGGATACCCTCCCGTGCCATATATGTCTACAGGAGTCTACAAATTGTTCATGCCTTAGACACGAGGAAATATCCACTCAGTTCCCTACTTTACTATTGATTTGGGGATGCCATTTAACTTATTTCTTCTTTAGTGTCTCCATCCAAAAAAAGGGCAGGGGACTAATG